GTAACAAACGGATAAATAGAATTACTTTCACATTTACGTTTATATTTAAAACTAGCGACTCGCCTCCGCTCCGATCGGATTCGTCCCTACTTACGTTTTAATAATTAGTATAGATTTCTCAGAGATGATATATTTCCCCGCAGTAAAAAGTATCCTGTAAGTTGATCCGGATGATAAGCTATAATCAACCAAATTTCATCAAAATTCCTCCAGTGGTTTTTCCGTGGTGTGATCACAGACAGACAGACAGACCGACAAAAATCCTAAAAACTATAGATCGGCCTCAGTATCGATAATAATATCTATTTTAATAAGATTTTCCAAAAAATATTGAATGTACAGATTCGACTCTGTTAGGATTTTATTATATTATATACATAATAAATTACCATTTTAGACCCATTCTGTTTAGAATATCAGTGAATTCTCTCTACACTACGCTTGACTGTGTACCTAGCAGTGGCGAAGGGTCCATACAAGACGTTCTTACCTTAAATGTATTTTGCTATAATTTTACATACATTTAATTTTTAAATATTTAAATGTATAAGTGTTCTTTTGGAAATATATATATATATATATATATATATATATATATATATATATATATATATATATAACTAGCATTGCCCGTGGCTTTGCCCGCGTTCAGATGACAAAAAATAAATTCTTAGGCTTTACATAATATTAGTATACTCTTACATTGCGGTTTTTGTATTTTTTCTCAGAAATTACATATTTTCCCGCGTTAAAAAGTATAATATATGTTGGTTTTCCTGTGATGCGGTAAAAGACAGACAGGCATACAAACTGACAGACAAAAATTCTAAAACTATGGATTCGGCCTCTGTATCTATAATAATGTTTATTTCAATAAAAATTTCCAAAAAATATTTAATGTAAAGGTTCGGCTTAGTTACAATTTTATTATATGTATAGATAATAGCTTTATTCCTTACACATTGCATTAATACGTATATAAAAATTGTATATTTTTGGAACGGCTTACCTCTGCTAAAATTTCACCCTTCGCCACAGGTCCCTAGATACCTTATAGCCTATGTGTTATTCCAATTCATAATCTATTTATATAAGTACTAGATTTCATCCCAATCTGAAGCTGTCTCAACATGAGGGATCACATCGGTCTTATCGTTTAAAGAGCGATTTCTTCCAGGCGCGTGCCTGGAAGAAATGCCTGCCTTAAGGTGCCAGTCTTTAGGTGAAGGAAATAGTACTAAGATAGAAAGGGTTCGAATAATAAATAAATATATTTATAAATAAGTTTTGTCATCGATATACCTTTTGAAATTACAATTATAAAAATTAATTTTAAATATAGAATTTTAATTTTTTTGGTGTGGATCCAAAAATATTTATTTAATAATATCCAATGTTTCCTGAACTCTAAAGTACTCTTATCAAGTTGTACGTTAAAGTTGTGTACCTAAGTACATACTTCTGTTACGAATGCACAAAATCTAGATTTACATAAAAGTTTCTATCCTTTAAAATTTTTAGGTAAATAAGGCTAAAACATCGCTTGGTACAAAATATAAATAACTTATATTTTTTTAAATCTGAATAATAAAAAAACTATATTTTCTTATTAATATTATTAAATAAAAACACATTTTTATTTGCTTTAATAAAAACTTCAATGGCTCAAACTTAATATTATAATTAAATAATTCTATTTCTAATTAAATAAATCAATTTCTTTCGTTCGTATAATCGTTTTTATTTTTAAATTATTATTCAATCAAAACGAATAAATCCATAATCATTCACTAATATATAAAAAATCATTGCGTAATGCTTATTGCTTAGAACTGATGTAAAAACAAGTTATGTTGCCGAGCGGGGTCATTGGCACAGACTGCAGCTGTTAAAATACATAAAAATCCTTCAATTTCAAACTTTATTACATTAGGTGTTAAGTTTAAAATTGCCTATATAGTAAATTTCTGAAAATGTTAGTGTTCAAATTGTTTTTTTTTTATGCATATCTGGGATATAAGTTTAAAGTATTCCAGGAATAATTATATACAGCCTTTACTTTATTTAGATATTTTAATTGCTTTTAGGTTGGATATAAGTTTTTAATAGGCCATTTACGTGCAAAGTTTGTTAAACTATCATTAGGTTACAGGAGTGCTGCCATATATATGATTATTTATTATTTAGAAAATAATACTAAAACGTATCATTTATTTTTTGTTCTATTACATTTTTTACTATCATTTTATATAACTGGTAATGGCGGATATAATTACACATTATCTAATAAAATAAAATATTATCAAATATTAAGAACATGTTAGTGACTTAATACTTATTAGATAATTTATCTACTGTAATTTAATTACCACTTTGAGGAAATTGTATTTATAAAACTAGCAACACCGTCTTGTAAGTTGTTAGTTCGTTTTCCGCCGCACAATGTACCAGTTAGCTTCGTAGAGCTCAAATTTTATTGTCGTCCAAAGTAAATCTCGTGCGGCTTGTTGCGTTCCAAGCCGTAAGAGATTGACTTAGATTGATAATAAATAATTCGGCGAATAAATAAGTGATTTACTATAATATTTTCATAGATTTTGTAAGTATTTTCACTATCCTATCTCATTATTTTTTATTATTTAGTAGACTATATCAATTACCTTTGACTAACAAAAAACTTTTTAACAAAAAAATAAAAACCGACTTCAAACAAAAGCACTAAAAAGTAAAAAATAACTGATTGGTAGTTTTCATTTACTATACATACCTAATCAAATATTTTCGAGGTCGGTGTGCTTTGCTTTGTATGGGCTGGCACCGATTTCGAAAATATTTGATTAGGTATGTATTTAATAGGTAGGCTTTAATTACTTAGCCAAAGCACACCGACTTCGAAAATATTTGATTAGGTATGTATAGTAAATGAAAACTACCAATCAGTTATTTTTTACTTTTTAGTGCTTTTGTTTGAAGTCGGTTTTTATTTTTTTGTTAAAAAGTTTTTATTTTTCCCTTTTTAGTGTAGACAGTAGTAGAAAAGGAAGGATTCTAACGTGTTAGGCTTGTCAAATCAAACAAAATAAGCCCAAACTCAAAGTATCTACTATGAGCCGTTGAAGAGTTCCACCTATCCACCTTCTGGCCTTGCCATCAGATCAGGTCAACAACACCGAACCACTGTACTATCAACGGAAATAGAAATACTTGCAAAGTTTCAAGTCAATATGACAATTAGAAGTAGGTTAAATTCATCATTCGCTATTTTTCCACCCTTAGGGGTGGTATTTTTTTTTGAAATTTAAATGGGACCAATCTGGAAGTATACCCTTTCAAACGACACAAAAATTGTCCAAATCGGTTAATAAATGACGGAGTTCTGAGGTAACAAACATAAAAAAAAAAAAAAAAAAAAAAACATACAGTCGAATTGAGAACCTCCTCCTTTTTGAAGTCGGTTGAAAAATATATATACTCTTACGGGAATCAAACTCAGTACTACTGTATTGGAATATTTCTATTTTAGTTTTTTTCAATGACATATATTTATCTTTTATAATAAAATATATGAATTATATTTTTATTTTCTTAATAATTTTTATATACATTATAAAAAAAATAGGAATCAGTAATACGAGTACATTTCATATAGTATAGTACGAGAAGTAGATCATAAAACAATGCCTTTATTTACATAATTCATGCGAAACACGCGTTTTTCTTTGAAATACCTTATAGGATAAAATTGTCACGATTTTCGTATAATAAATTGTTTTAAACTCTATTTCTATGAAATAAGATTTAAAATTCCATGAATAAAAATTAATAATTGAATGTAAAAATTAACAGTCGTGATTGTAACGTTAACCTTCGATGGTACATTTGCGCGTTTTTTTTATTAGAATCTAATGTTAGGGTTAACATTATATAAAATGTCAACACTTAAAAAAAATGAATACACTATCACACTTAAATGCAATAATAACCTTGGCTTTGTCTCAGTATTAATTATTTAAACTAAATATTATTCGTGTAATGTATGATTAGATCTTTCACAGGTAGAGACAGAAAATAAACAGATAAACAGATGTGCATTTTTCAATATTTTTGTAGACTGTATTTTATCTACTAAAATGAAGGCCAGACTTTGACTATAAATTTTTGTCTATCTATTGTTTAAATATACCTGTAAATAAAAATGAAAATTTAAACAAATGATACATTTTCAATATCATGAAACGTAATTCGTTAAATTATTTCAAAACTAATATTTAAATACAAACTACAGAACTAGTTATTTTTATTTAATGCAGCTTTATATAATTCAATAATCATAATAGCATTATGAGGAAACCCTATTTATTAAACTGGCAACACTAATGTTACTTGTCAGTTTGTTTCCCGCAGTACGTCCAGTTCGTTATCTTTGTTGTATTCTACGCAATACTAGCGAAGTAAATTGTTCCCCAAACGGCACTCCTACGAGTAATTGAAAAAATAATTGAATTGAACTGTTATACAATTTAAAATTTTATTGTCAACCAAAGTAAATCTCGTGCGGCTTGTTGCATTACTAGCCGTAAGAGATTCGCTTAGATTGATTATAAATAATTCAGCAAATACATAAGTGATTTATTATTTAACTATTTACAGGTTTTGTATATATTTTTAATTCATCTTTTGTTATTGTTTTATTTGCTTTAAGCCATTCGATTTAGCTATTCTTGTTATAATGAACACATACATCCATAAAACAAAACATATATACATCGAATAGAAATCTAACCTAGTACCCTCAGTTGTAAAACTGATCAACTGCTGAAAGCCTAATATTTTGTTGCACCTAATAGGGAAACAGGCGGTATATTTTAAGATACTTTAATCGTATTGCGTCGTTTCATTAAAACTTATTACAAAAACTGACGTCATAGAATAATGTCGCTATTTCTATAGTTTATATTTTAAAACATGTAACTATGAGATCATATCTTAGCACTAAGAAAATGAGTAGAGTGCGAGGCGCTAATATAATTCGGGTAAGATCAAACTGTCTTAAAAGTTTGCATAAAAAGCTGGAAAAAAGGTAATACATTTCCAAATTAAAAACATATCTATCTCCTTCGTGTCTTCTCCGTTACATGTGACATTGCCGATGTTATCTGTGCTCAACTGGCACTTTTTGAAGCCATTAAATAATAAAAGCCATAAATAAATTAAAAATTTAAAATACCCCCGACATGTAATTCGCAATTTTGTGGTAGCGGCCATCTTGGATTCGAAATTTATCATAGCTTATAATATTCTACTAGTCAAGCTCTTTCATTTGATACTCATATTGAGGGAGTTTTGAAAAAAATATGTAATCCGCCATTTTGTGGCGGCGGCGGTCATCTTGGACCGATTTTCATCAAACATAACTGAGAATACTAACTACAAATTCACCTTTCAAACGAAAAAACAAAATCAAAATCGGTTCGTCCGTTTGGGAGCTACGATGCCGCAGACAGACACACTCACACACAGACAAACACGTCAAACTTATAACAACCCCTCGTTTTTGCGTCAGGGATTAAAAATAAAGAATATTAGACTATTTCGTCAGTTCTTTAGAACTGAAGCTAAATAATAAATATTCATATTACTTAGTAGGCTTCAGGTATGATAAGAACTTAACCTGATAGTACATAATTGCATTAGATTTAAGTACGGAGTTTCTATTTATAAATGTTCTAGAATAAAATAGAAAATATGACGCCGGATATTTTCGAATGTTAGACCGTAGTCTCCCTAGACATTATTAATGTAACGCATAGGAAAGAAGAAAAATATCTTATTAATCAAGTTATTTCACAACTTGACATGACTTTTCATTATCATTCTTCACTTACTCATAATTAAGTATTAAGCTTAAAACTATTATATATTTACGAACTGTAATCAAAGTAAGACAAAGTCAAACTATGATTCAAACTAAACTTATAATAAGCTTTTTATCTCGTTGAAATTGGACCCATAGATCAAGAGATTAACGTGATTAAATAAAAGAAAAGCTCTTCAGCTTTATTCATAAACTAGTGACTCGCACTCGCTTCGCTCGGGTTCGTCCCTAGGTACATTTTAACGGTTAGTATGGAATAGTTAGACTATATAGTATATGGTATATATAGCCTGTAACCTTTCTCAATAAACGGGATATCTAATGCAAAAAGATTTTTTCAAATCGGAAGAGTAGTTCCTGAGATTAGCGCGTTCAAATAAACAAACAAACAAACTCTGCCTCTTTATAATAATAGTATAGATTAGATAGATTAGTATTTGTATAGATATATAATAATAGCAAATCTTCATTTTAACTAAGTTAACTAATACGTAATATCCTTCTTCCAGATTGCGCTTCTTCTAGCAGGTATCATAGCGCTGAAGAAGCTCATGGCACAGAAGAGCGGTGGAGGTGGAGGAGGCGGTGGTCATGAAAGCCATGGCTGGTCATCTGGCGGCAGTAGCGGTGGTTGGGACCGTCGTTCATATAACGATGTATCGGATTTAGCGTACTCTGCGTACAAAAAAGATTAAAATTTAGTGTTCGTGGTCACTTATCTTTATTAGTGGAAGAGATATTTATCATGATTTAATCGACTTCAAAAAGAAGACTCTCAATTGAAGATTTTTTTTTTTGTAAATTGTTATCTTTTTTTACTACTTAAGTGATTATGAAGTTAGTATACCTTTTTAGTTTAAAAGTTATTTCTATTTTCATTTCCACAATATTTCGGTGCTATGTCAAGGAGTAAAGAAAATTGAGAGTGTTGAAGGTCTCAAATTATGGCCAATAGAAAATTTACTATTGAAAATTGGAAATATTAAAAGAAACATGATTAAAATCCCAGTACACGTAGGTAATAAAGATTTAAAATCGTTAAATCTATTCATATAGTTATAAATATCATTCTAAGCTACCTTTGAAGAGATATAGTCGAGAAATTTATTATATTAATACCTAATTCTATTTTTCTTGCAAAATTATTTAAAATTAACAAAATTAGCTAATTCAAATAATCTGCAGTTTTTGAACATTTTTGTTATATAATTATTTATTAATTTTACTATAAACTTTATTTAATTACACAAAAGTATTAGAATAACATAAAAATGTAACATAAACCTACGATGAGATTATAAAAAAAGTATTTTATGTATATGTTAGTACGTAAATAAGATTTCTAACCACCAAATATATCCATTATCTCGTCTCTTATTACGATTTTAAGAACAGTAGCTTCATAGAGCTTTTTATTTTGTAAGCTTAAAGTTTACATGAAAATTAATGATATACTGTAAAATATCAAGGCTTTATTTTCCTTCTATTGCTCAATTAACTGTTAAAAATCTATTAATTATTCATAAATGAATAATCATTTAAAGTATTTTTTATAAAAACTTGTGTACTATAGCTTTAAGTTGTGACTGTTTGTATCACAATCTTATTTAATAACTTAATTTATTTATTTATTGTAACTTATGGATTAAATTGTGTTGTACCTTTGAAGTATATTTTATTAGTGATACTTAAGCCATTTGTAACGTCCTGACCGTTTTTGGCTACGGCGGCCAATCTTATTAAGACTACCCTACTATCCAGGAGATATTATAGTGCACACTACACAAGTGTACGCACAAACAGAATTGCACTCGCTATTCCTTATAACTCTCAAAGTCTAATGGGATGGTAAGAGTTAAGGCGCAGGGCCGACGGCTTTACGTGCTCTTCGAAGCACGGGGGTGAAACACCGCCAACTTTCCAACTCCGGGCCGATACTGAGCATATCTTCAGAAAAACGAAGTAATTAAACTTGGCCTAACTAGGGACACGAACTCAGAACCTCCGCATCTGCAGCCGTCTAGCCGTAAGACCACCGAGACAGTTATAAAGACATTATAATAAAAAAAATAAACTGTTCAGCTAGGCTAAAACAAAAAAGAATAAAAATTTACAATAAATAATCTTTATTGCACACCCACAAAATAGTACAACAAGTAATAGAATTAAGACTATATATTTTAATAACAACTATAGTCGGCCCAGTGGACATGCAGGTTTCCTCACCGTTAGACAAGTGATAATTATGTAAAAATGATTCTCACATGAAAATCTGCTTTTGTCCACTGCTGGACATAGGCCTCTCCTATGGCAACTGAGCTCAATCTTCAGCTCTACGCATCCAACCGCTGCCAGCCAGTTTACATATATCGTCGCTCCATCTAGCTGGAGGGCGTCCTACACTAAGTTTGCCGAGCCGTAGTCTCCACTCTAGAACCCGTCTATTCCATCGGTCATCGGATCTACGAAAAATTTAACCAGCCCACTGCCACTTCAGCTTGCTAATTGTTTGGGCTATGTCGATTTTAGTTTCCTGTCGGATCTCTTCCTTTCGGATCCCATTCTTCAGAGATACTTCTTAATAACATAGTTTTATTTAATTACTTTACATATTTTTCCTTATGAAAATTCCTTCGAGCGTATTTGACTAATTTCAAAAAAGAAGTATTGAATTTGAATGTATTATATTTTGTGTCATGTACTCAATTTTAATATATGCTATGATGTGTGATTTTCAAATTCCCAAAACGGTATGGAACTTTAGGTCATCGGACTCTTTATTTTAATAACGCTTTTTGAAGGTATAAGTTAGAAGCTATTTTTGTTCTGTTACGGCAAAGAAGTATAACTTCTTACGTGCATACATACATAAGTACACACATACTTTTTTATGTTTGTATTCCTTCACGCTGAAACGGAAGAACGGATTTCGATGAAATTTAGTACGCAGATAGACTATGTACGACCTGGTGAAACACGTTGGATACTGTTAGTCACCTAAGTCACTTATCTATATCTATATAAAGACAGACTAAAATTCTAAAAACTATAGATTCGGCCACTGTATCGATAATAATGTCTATTTCAATAAGATTTTCAATTTTATTATAATATGTATATATTATAGTGGAACTATTTATGCACGTATAAGTGCTGTAGGTTTGAGAGTATATTCACGGTAATGGATGTATAACATTACCGTGGTATATTGTTAGCGAGATGAGAGATAAACACAGCTTGATCATCTAGGGGCACGGTAGTGCCCCCGCCAAATCAAGCAATGGAATTCATTCGGGACATTTTCTACTCTCACAGATAATGCCACCTTTAATAAAATACATATACTACACTTATAAGTTGGCGCAGCGTGTTGAAGGCAAGCGATGTGATTGAGATCGTGGAGATCTTATAGCAAGCAAAATTGAGCTAGGTATACAAACAAGAAATAGTACTAGAGAGGAAAATAAGGAGAATTAATTATAAGAGAGGAAAAAAAGGAGAAACACAAATAAATAAGATCCAATCAAAAACATAACATGCAAAAAAAGCAAGTCTCGCAACGCAGTTTATCTATCACAAATAGTTGTAAGATCTAATATAAAACCAAACCGGTTAATTTATTCAGTGCCTATGTATGGAAGCATCTATCCAACAACTTTGTCATAAATCGTTACCTAATTAGTTAAATAAAAACATTTTATAGTGAACTTATTATTAGATCTCTTTATTCCTTTAATAAATATAATGACGTGGCTATAGGGCGGAAACATAATATAAGAATAATCTACTATTTTAAATACTTAGTCCTATTTGAACATATTGCTAGCGAGTCGAATGTATTCACTGCACTGGTTCAAAAATATCGAATTTTCAATAAAATATGAAAAAATAATAATTTTTATTTTTAAAAATCGAAAATAAAAATAGTAATTATGGAAGGCCCACTACCGGGCGGGGATTGGAAGTTGTATGATAGATAGAAGCTTAAAATAGAAAATTTTCAAAAAAATCGAATGATACACACAATTTTTAAAACACGATTGAAAACTTAAAATTCAAAAGTCTCGATTAAAACATGTAAAATATATTTTTTTTTATATTTATTTATGTAAAGGTAATTCAAAAACAAAAATGAGCAAGAAACAAAAAAAGAGCGGTTTTGAACCAGTGATCAAAAAAATCTCGAAATTTACCAGGAAGCCTCTTTTGAGGGTTACTAAAAATACCAAAACATTAAAAAAATCAAAAATATTTTTTTTAAATCGTCCGTCCGATTTGGCGTGGAATGCCCTATAAAGAATACGCTCAGAACGCTAATATTAAGTGAATTTTGTTATTTTTAATTTCTATTACCATGTGTGCTCTAAAATCGATTCATAGTTAATAAAAAAATTACACCCATATTAAGTCCATCCTTTTCGAAATCAACCTTAAGTATAATTAAAATACCAAAACCTGTTGTACATGCACCTTAATAAAAGTATCGAAACGTGCCAATAATTAATAAATAATTAGTCCGACTGAATTATCGATAAGTAAACGAAAACTTATAAGAACGTGACAGCCTATTTACTTTTTGTTTTTGCCTGCCATTAATTAATTGTACTAAGCACTGCACGTCTTATATGTATGTAACCTCTATTGTCTTCCTACTAATATGAAGACAAATAATAATTATTCTTGTCATAGCCTAGTTAAGTTTAGCAGCTTCTTCTTTTACGATATGAGGAGATAAATTCTCTTTGCTATATTTTTGCGGTAGGTTAAACGAAAATTGATTTAAAATATATTTTTCAATAGGCAACTTTTTCAATTTTATAATTTTAACATTGTATCATACTTATAACTTATTTGATTATATTGTTTACTCAGGTGCGTCTGTAGATGATCTTACAAATCGGACAGAAACTGCTTGATAAATATATTATTATGAAGCTATAATTAAATCAATTTTAAATATTTTATTTAAATATAAAATTATATTGTACATTTGCTCATACACTAAGAATTTTTCGCATTTGTAAATTTTGATTGTTTACAACAAAAATACTTTATCAATAGTTTTGCCATATTAATGCATATCAATTTCAATTAAAAATTAGATACGCGGATATAAATGATTGATTTTGATGAATGCATGTACATCACTAATTGATTAAAGTTTTTAATTGCTTTAAATAATAACAAAAATGTAGGCGCTGAAACATCATCACTTAGTTATAAATCAAATAGTGTGGAAGTAAATTTATTTCCTTCCCGGCACGTCGCGTGATGCACGTCACTATTTACTTTTCCGCAATGCCTATTATAGTTACGTCTTTAACTTTAAGCTTGTATTTAAAAAAATACAACTTATTAAAATCTTTATTTTAACTAATTTAGTATGATTTTGCCTTCTAGTAGTTTTCGTTATCCATCTACCCTTTGAGAGCTTTTTATTTAACACATAAGCTTTCATAATAATATTAAATAAAATATAGCAAAAAAGCTTTGAAAAGTTTATAAGTCTAAGTAAGAATAAGGATACTATTCTTAGAAAACTTTTTTATTTACGGTTTCTGGTTATGGCAGCCAATCTCACTGAGAAAAGCCAAAGGCGCGGGACATATTATTGTGAAATAACGTATGCACAAACACAAGTATACAACACGTATACACCCTCTGTTTTTTTTTACCCCTAATACTCCATTTGGTTTAAAACTCGACATGAACTGTGAAAGAGGCGACGGTCCGACAGCTTATGGACTTCCCAAATCCGGGTGACTACTGAGTATTTCTTAATTGAAAATACCAGTAACAGATTTGGCTCGGCGCGAGACTGGATTCCAGGACTTCTCGTTGTGTAGACGTGCAGCAGTAACTATAAAGTAAGTAAATCAATATATTCTATTTAAATATTACTATTCTTATAAAATACCCTAGCTTAATATATAGTGAATTATAGAAAAAAATTACAAAATATAAATTATACAGTAAAAAAAATAGTTCAATTTTGAATTGATATTTATACTGTAGTTTTGCTCACGCCAGTGTGAAAGTCATATTAGCTCGTGGCGTTATCCAATAATAATGTCGATAAACGTTATAGCCAACTCAATCTTTGATAGTAAAAGTATATCTGATTATACACTAATTAATGTATTGTTAAATGGCTAATCGACCATAAAATTACTAATTTGCATACCAAACAGTTAAATGGATGCGAGATTGATGACGTGGTGTGTAATATTTGATAAAGTGAAAAGGTTATATTTCTAAAATACTAGCTTCTCTAAGTTATTTCGCTCGTAGAACTACAAGTACATATGACTTCTGTTTTACATTATGCGATACGAATGTACCAACAACTACGAATATATACACATTTAACATTTTTTAACATTAACTATAGATTTCTCAGAGATTAGATATTTTCACGTAGTAAAAAGTATCCTATATTTTGACCTGGATAACAAGCTATCATCATACCAAATTTCATCAAAATCTATTCAGTGGTTTTCCCATGATGCGGTAGCAAACAGACAGACAGACAAAAAATCTAAAAACTGTAGATTCAGTCTCTGTATCGATAATAAAGTCTATTTCAATAAGATTTTCCAAAAAATATTTAGTGTACAGATTCGGCTTAGTTACAATTTTATTATGTGTATACATAATAATAAGGTTCTCCAACTGCGCAGCAAATATTATAGTACACAAGTATGCGCGCAGGCACAAGTGCACTTTCTATCCTGTAACTCTCAAACTCCAATGGGACGACTGCTCGACACGACCAGTTACGTTACTCTACAGTAACTCTGGTTAAGGCACAGGACCGACGCGACACGTGCTCTTCAAAGCATGGGGGTGGACCGACGGCTTTACGTGCTCGCCAAGGCACAGGGGTTAAATACCGCCAAATTCCCAATTCTGGCCTATAACTGAAGCTTACTAAATAGAAAGACTCAATAACTAAACTTGGCCCGACCCCGGTTCTAACTCGGGACCTGCGGATGTGCAGTTTTACATATTAGCCACTACACCACCGAGACATATTATATAACCTATTTAAATAAACGTTATCAGGTGTGTATAATTGTTACAATTCTATACTGAAATGACTGATTTGGATATGTATTTACACCGATAGACTATAGTGACTTTGAACATACAGGCTACTGTTAGTAATAAAATTTTCCGGAAGGTGGCGCTACCTGTATATGATATTATAATTGCAAACAAAGTTTCATTATCCGTTTAGTTGTAATGAGGAAAAAATTTATTGCAATCTATTCGACATAATGTTCGAGTAGTATGAGCTCAAACAGACAGTTCTTTACCCGACTGATTTGAAAGACTTTATTTATAGTACCTGGGCCACCGAGCTTCGCTCGGAGTTTTTGCTTGAATAGTACAATTTTCTTTAATAAAACTAAAAACTTGAATAAAATACAAAAAAAAAACAAAAAAAAATTATACCTTTGTATCCGACCGGGATTCGAACCCAGACACCTATGATTGTCAATCTAGTGTCTTTAAAAAAAAAACTTGGATAAATATTAAAAAAAAATTAAAGTAAAAACTTTGTATGCGACCGAGATTCGTACCTGGACTCCTGTGATTGTTGATCTTGCACCTTGGCCGCTTGAACACGATGCTTATATCCAAGCGTGCAAATTACAAACACGCGTTTTCTCAGACATAAGACTAATCTAGATCGATTTACCGCCCCCGAAACACACTGTGTGCTAAATTTCATGAAAATCATTGGAGCTGTTTCCGAGATTCAGATTATATATATACAAGAATTGCTCGTTTAAATATATTAGATACATATGTATGTATATTGCATGTATCTATGTCCAATCTTATGTTCCCTCGTAATTTTTAAATGACTTAGCCGATTTTTCTTATTCTTATGTCATTAGATTCTTCTCGATAGCGTGAGAGTCATAAGGTATATGAATTATATTAAAATTCAAAATGGAGGATTTCAGGCACTAATTTGTGTGTCCTGATAAGAAAACATTTACCTAAATATTCAAATCTCTTTAAATTATAAATTACGGAACCCACCTTCACATGATACCGACTTCCCCTTGACCAAGTTTTTCAAGAACTTATTAAACGATCATAGATAAGAATACGTGTGTACGTAATACGATTATTATATATTAATTATTTCAGTTTAATTTACTTCTACTTATTATAAACTAGCGGCTCACCCTCGCTTCGCTCGAGTTCTTGCTAGGTACGTTTTAAATGATATAAATAGTTATTAGCCAGCGTTAGCCATATAAATTTTATTTTTTTTCGGTAATTTTTCTGATGTTTTAATACATATTATATTATCCTATTCCGGAGTAAGAGAAATCCAGAAAATCAAATATCATAACAATTGGTCAAGCCGTTCTTGAGTTATAAATGGTGTAACTGACACGACTTTGTTTTATATGTATATTTACCTTATTTTATAATTTTTTCTCTTTATTAAAACTTTCCGTGTACCTTAAGGAACATACAAAAAAAAATTACTGATTTGATCGAGCCGTACCTGAGTTTTGCCCGTAGCAACATTCATTTTTATTTATATAAATATAAAATGTAAAAAAACATATTACATGCAGCTCTTTTTCATTTAATCAATCAAATATTATATACAAAAAAATCTCCCCGGCGGGGAATCGAACCCCGGTCTCCCGCGTGACAGGCGGGGATACTTACCACTATACTACCGAGGATGTACTTAGTGACACGAATTTTATAACATATTTGCACAATGTTGAATTATGTATATGATGTCACTAGCAGAACCCGCGGCTACGCCCGCGTTCAATGTACAAAAATACTCTTTGGCTTTATGTTATACAGCGACTCACCTTCACTTCGCTCGAGTTCGTCGCTATGTATTTATATAATATTGTTAATAAAAAAATACTAAAATCGCAATTAAAAATGGGGGGTAAGAGTAGGGGGGTGAAAAATTCTTTACGACTTATTCTCATACCTACCAACTGTACAAAAAAATTATTATAATCGGTCGAGCCTTTTCGGACGAGTACAACCACAAACACCGTGACAAAAGATTTTTATATATTAGATTAAATAATGACAGTAAATTGTCATATGGTTTTTATTTTTTCATACACATAAAATATCAAAAAAAAAACAGTCTTTATTATAATTAAATCACGGTAACACCTACTTGTGTTTCAGGAGCTATTCTATATATTACCTTCCCATATTATGAGTTAATGTAATTAAAAAGAAAAACAATATAATTTAGAAAAAATGAGTGTGCGTGTTGTGTTCATATTACAAATTTTGTATTCATATTATACTTAATTTTTTTATTTAAATGTATCATTCGTTCCAGAGATTTACCGCTGATATGAAAATTATCTAAAAATAATGACAAAATTGTGACAAATTAGATAGTAGCGTCTTGATTTGGTCGACAGATGATGTTGCGCCATTAGCGGAAGAAGCGGCGCGTACGCAGAAACGAAGAGAGCTGTCTAGTTTTTATTTTGGTTGATTTTATTTCACCCATATCGGAATTGCTATCCAGTCAAGAGGTTCCGCGAGACCGTCCGAGCGTGAATAGTCGGGAAAAACGCAAGTTTATACTAACACATGTATAAATATAACGTCTTTCAACGATAGTGATTCAGTTTTGCGCGATCGCTTGCAACAAAATGGTGGATCGAGGAGGGGTGAGGCAGTAACTTTACTAGAAAGTGAAGTTAGGGCACTTGTGTAATCAGTGACGCGTCGCTAATTATTCTAGTGATTATTAATTAGCCAATATGAAGTTCCACATGAGATTGAAGTGTCAAACGATAGTGGTATTGTGTTACGCTGTTCTATCAACAGCTGATCAAGAATATGACAATAAAGTAACGAAAGTTTGGTCCTTGTCCCGTGTTTCCGACAAAGATGATACAGCAGTTGTAAATGTGACCAGTGCCTCAATAGTGATACCTTCAAGCTACAGTAACGACCCAGGCATAACAAGGACGGCGAGAATCTCACAAAATTTCAAGCCGTACGTTTTTCGACCCCGTGCAGTACCTTTAAAGAAACTAGAACAACCACCACAGGAAAAGAGTGTGTATTATACCCATGACAACAAGTATAAAACGGAGATACTTTTCCCTGGTAATTATTTTGCAATTCCCAAAGAGAAAAGTGTTGACAGTGCAAGAGGTAACTCTTACAACCCTCTTAGTGGTGGACCGTTCGAACCGAAAGCCATTCCCTTAATTAGAGACCAGGGTTTTGGTAAAAGATCACTAGATGTGAGCTTAGAACCAGCAGAAGATGATTCTGAACAGAGTTCAGATGAAAGCCCAGAACAACAGGCTACTAGAAGATCATTATCATGTAAGTATATAATAATTCATCTTCATTTAAAAAAAATTACAGGTAGGTAGGCAAAAAAATCCTGATTAAATAACTTTGTAAATTAAATTAACTAGCCTGATTCCCGCCAATTTAGTTATTGGGATCCTTTTCAACTATTTTAACATAAGAGGATGCATTTCCTCAAATGTAGTATTGATTGTAAACACGATGAAAATATCCCAATTTTTAAGCTCCAGCGATTTATGTTTTAAAAAAATAACATGATATTTCACTCTCATCTACATAAAAAAATAGAAGATAATTCTTTATTATAGGTATTTTTATAAGTACTATAATATTATAATATCTATTTACTAGAGCAAGATAACAGAAAGCTGAAATAAGACTTCAATTAATATCGAAATGCCCTGCTGTATCTCTATCATTACCATCCATTATAGCTTCAAACGTTGTTCCCTGAACCGCAGAAACTTTAAATTTCATCGGCGGTGCCTTATAATCTTTTCCGCTTGTGGACAGTAAATGTAAATATCTATTTTGATTTATAACTAGATCGCGTGATTTTATTGTATCGTCACGCAACAATGCAACGAACTTTAGTATTACATACAAATGTTTGGTTAGGTTCCTAGTTTCATTTGGAAAATTGATTAGTACGTTTGATTCTTATTAATTAGTATGTATACAGTATACAGTTTTTATATTAGAGTTATGTACAAACGTTTACATTATCATGCTGCATGAAAAATGCATGATGAATGCACTAATTACTATAAAAAGTTTTTCAATTGTAGGTTAATAAACCTATTAATGGTGAAATCGAATGGTTTTTAAAAGAAAACTTATATATTTTATAATTAAAATAGTTATATTATTAAACGAATAATTATTAACTTAACTAGCTTTCCTTAAAAGAAATTCATTGATATAATGCTAGATACGTTTCTTTATATTGCATTTGCTATTATTTGCTATCTTGATCAGGAATCTTGCATACAACAACTTTAATGAATTAAATTACTTCTTTTCAGTATTCATAGACTTATTTTTACGACCGTATTATTTTATGATGGTTATTTAACATTCTTTTCATGATTTTACATTATAATTGTACAGTATCAAATTAGCCCAACTGTATTAGTAATATTTTAATAATTAAAATAAAATATTTTCACGTTTCAGATATCTTAGGGGCTGAAGAAGACGAAGACCTTGATGATGAAGATGGAGAGTATGAAGAAGAGGAAGAAGACCCTGAATCAAAGAAAGGAGGTTATAACATCAAGAAAAAGATTAAGAAGAAGGCAAGAAAAGTTAAAAAGTACTCCAAATATATGATGCCGTTACTCCTTGCGTACAAATTGAAATATTTTGCTTTGATACCGCTCATGATTGGAGGTTTAGTTTTACTGGTAGGAGCGACTGGACTTGCTGGATTCTTCTTTGCACTGTTCGCAGCAGTGATGGGCTTACAAAAGGGAGGCTACTAATAATTTAATTAAAATACGTATATAAAGTCGACGTACTCGCAGATGCCATCAGATTTAGATAGATGTTTTGAAGTATTTTATCTTAAGGATTTTGAAGTTAATACTCAATTAAGTCCTTAAAAGTACTGTGTTTTAGATTTTTTTGACCGCTGTTATTTATTTTTGTTGTTCCACCGATTTTCATTATTTTATTTAATGTACTATTTTCATCATGTAAATTGTTTTATATAAAATCAATTTCATTTTTAATTCTTTTGTAAATAAATTTCACTGATTGAGTAATATTTAATATTTTAAGTTATCCATATTATAATTTATTTTTACTTTATCATAATGGAAAAACCTGCATAGATTAATATAGTTACCATTGTAATGTATACGACTCGTATTATTAATTTGTAATAATTTTATTTCGTAAAATATAATATATATTGATTGGTTGATTGTTTTAAATGAGATTTTAGTCATTTATAGAAAGAAACTTTTCTTTATAATAATATAGACTTATGACGCTACTACTATAAATGAGAAAGTTTGTATGTATGTGTGTGTATGTGTGTTTGTTTTTTTTACGCTGAAGCTGTTGAACATAATATTTGAATGAAATTCATCACACAAATCTATACTAATATTATAAAGACGTAAACTTTGTGAGGTTGTAGGGAGTAATCTTTGGATCTACTAAACCGATTTAGATGAAATTTGGTAAGAAGATAGTTTTAGACCCTGGGAAGGACATAGGAGTTTATATCCCGCAAATCATCCCTTAAGGGGGTGAGAATGGGAATGAAAGTTTGTATGAGGAAGCAAGCTAGGGACGAACCCGAGCGAAGCGAGGGTGAGTCGCTAGTATAACACACATAGGCTACAATTTGTAATATTTTCTAAAACGCAGTGCTTCTCGTAAATGATAAAGGATGAAGAGTGCACCTAAAACAAGTATTTACTAGATATAATATTGACTACACAATGATTAATTACTCATAATTATTTAGTCTAGTACAAACAGATCAATGACCGTAAAAAGCGCACCACCATCATCCACGCTCTAGTTTGTCAAAAGATTGACATAAAAAGATTTCTACCAATTTTGTTGATTTATAGAAAATATCTAAAGCAATGGGTGTAATAGATGAAAAATTATATATTATTATTTCTATTAGTGACTTTGCAAGTCATACTTTGACTTTATTCTTTCAAACTAGTATAAATTGTACCTTCGCTTCGCTCGGTAGGTACGTTTTAACGGTTGTTGTGGAATAGATATATATATATATATATATATATATATATATTTATCTGGCAGACACAATGACAACAGAGTGAAAGAGATCCTGTATAATATTCAATTTTTGGACAGCACTATCTATCGATAATTAATCGTAGAATAACATAAATACAGCACAATATTTATCGACCAATTCATAATGAATCTTAAAATAAACATTAAAACTAAACGATCATTCACGATATTATGTTACCAGATAAAAAAATGTATTTGATTATCCAGAAAATGGACTTCTCTTAGATGCATCCCTGGGTGCTGACATAATGTTTGACACTCCAGACAAATATCGTCACAAACATTTACAACATCGAACATATATACATATACAACATACATATTTCAATATCGAAGACGACGGCAAAGTACAATATTATAGCTCAATAAGGTAATAACTTAAAAATCTATATATATAATAAAATTGTAACCAAGCCGAATCTGTACATTAAATATTTCTTGGAAAATCTCATTGAAATAAACATTATTATCGATGCAGAGGTCAAATCTATAGTTTTTAGAATTTTAGTCTGTCTGTCTGTCTGTTACCGCAGCACAGAAGAACCACTGGAGGGATTTTGATGTAATTTGGTATGGTGATCGCTGGTTATTCGGTCAACATATGGGATACTTTCTACCGCGGGAAAATGTCTCATTTCTGAGAAAAAATACAAAAACTGCAATGTAAGAGTATACTAATATGTAAAACCTAAGAATTTGGTTTTTGGTCATCTGATTTCTGATCACGGGTGGAGCCGCAATGCTAATATTAAATAATTTCTCATATATCTAAAGTGGAAATTCAAAATAATTGCAAGTATTGAAGTGAATTATAAATTACATGCCTTTTTTGGAGCCAATTTGTTAAATGGATACTTATTAGGAGGATTTCCGTTTTACTTTGTATCTAAAATAATATTTATTTAATTTTAAAATTGCAAACCAAAACATCGTGAGCTCAGGCCTGATCCCCTTCAGGCTTCATATTGGAGGGAGAAAGACCTTCAAAAGGGTTGGATATATACGTTTTTATGTAAACAGACTTCAAAGTACTGACTGAAAAAGAAAGGAAGAACTAAAAGGAATATATTTTATTTTTAATTTTATGTGAAGATGTAATAAAAGCGATTGTAGAATAAACGAAGCTATTCCGAGTCAATTGAGCAGTTACAGTTTGAAGAACAAACACACATATTCGTTAACACAATTATAATATAGTGCGATTAACTTTCTTTTACGTGACAGTTAAGATTTTTATGGCTAAAACGTATAGCTATTTAAAGTAGCATTCTGAACTAATTTACGTCTATAAAAGCTTAAAGCAATGGTTTTAAACATTCATTGTATAACCAACTAGTTTGTATATATATATATATAGCAATGACTAAGAAGTATTTCAGTGAAGTGTTTTTTCTATCACAAAAATTAGTATAAAATATAGATCTTTCATCAAAATCATTATTTTTATAAAAAGAAAAAATAACTGTACATATTAATTTTATCTATAAAGACTTCAAAATGTTAGTATCCGGAATCGTTTTGAATAACACAAATTTTGGCACTGTCAAAACTGTTATTGGATTGAGCCCAACCAGAATGAGTATTATAACGGAACCACTGTACTTACTGAGCGATGATTTGGCAAGGTCTTTTGAGTCAGGTAATTGGCATTTTTCCACAACTCTACGTGCTTACCTCTTAAAGCATGTTTTTATATATTTATAATAACATATATATTTTATATATTAAGTTTAGGTTTTTTTGGCCATAAATTTTGAATTTTCCTTATTTGTTGTAATTGACATTTTTGACTTAAAGGCTATGTATTTGATTGACAGAGAAAAAAAATATCATCAATATCATGTATTTTCCTTATAATGACCATATAATGAATTACAGCGTGTAACCTCTGGACTGTTACTTATCATTTTTTGAAAAATAAACTCAGAAACTACAATTGGCTTGATTCAGGATTCAAACCCGAGATCTGCAGTCGTACATGTTAGTCACTAGGCCAAAGAGACAGATAAAAATGTCATTTCTCGTATAAGGTAGACTACACTTAATATTATTATAATATACTTAATATACTATAATTAATATTACTGTAGTTCTAAATTTTAAACACCATATTGGATAGTATTTCCCCTGTCATAATCGGGCTATTATAAATGCGAAAGTTTGTATATGTGTGTATGTATGTATGTCTGTTATTCCTTCACGCTAAAACAAATATATAGACAGATTTAGATGAAACTTAGTACACAGATAGAGTATAACATGGAGTAACACATAAGCTTCTTTTCGGTACTTTGGGATGTACCCAAGTGAAGCAAGGGTAAGCAGACTGAATCTATACTATCTATACTAATATTATAAAGAAGTAGAGTTTATTTATTTGAACGCGCTAATCTCAGGAACTACTAATCCGATTTTAAAAATTCTTTTTGCATTAAATGGCCCGTTTATTGAGAGAGGCAGGGAGCGGAGCAGTAATCATAAATGTCAACAAACCGGGCAGACTTCCATACATCATTGTAAAACATATATTTTATATATGTATATACTAGTATAGTATAGCTAAATTAATTCTAGCTAGCTAAATTCTATTGAAAAATCTATTAAATTACAGATAATAAAATTGGAGAAGCTCTTACAACACGAGCGGCTAAAGAAAAACAAAAAAGCAACAACAAACTAGAAAAAACACATTACAAAAAGAAAAATAAAGTAAAGAAGTGTATATATAAATTATTTCATGGGAAAAAGAAAAAAAACAAATTCCGTAAAATCAAGAAAATTATAATGCCTATACTACTCGGTTTATTTTTAATAAAAAGCTTATTGGCATCGATAGCGTTGAAAACTTTGATATTTGTTGCTTTCAAAGGTAAGGCAAGGTACTAATAATTATTTTTATTTTTGTTCGTTCTCTCTTATTTTGATCAAAGTCCTTTTACGAGTAGAATTCATTGTATAGGTCATTTACATGTCGAGATTATTCACAACCGATTGTACATCTTCATAATACTTTCTTAAATTTACGCGAATATTTGACATTTTAAATAAAACTATATTTTCGGTTTTTTTTTTGGCGGATTTATATTTTGTACATCTTCAGTTAATTTATTAATTTCTACAGAGCTATTTTAATTCAGTTTCAATTTACACTCGTATAACTAGCGCCTTACCCTCGCTTTGCTCGGGTGCATCTCTGGGTACGTTTTAAATAGATATAAATAGTTATTAGCCAGCGTTATCTATGAATAATTTAAATTTTTTTCGAGAATTTTCTGATGTTTTAATAATTATTCTGCTATTCGGGGCGGAGACAAATCCAACAAATCCAAGAAAACAATATGAATACTATACATTCTTATTCTTACATTTCAGGTCTGGTGATAGGCATTTTCTCAACTATAATGACGTCTGCACTAGGATTTAGAGGGATGTTCCACCATGGCTTTGGCCATCATCACAGGAAGAATGACAAAATCCAAAATATCTTACGCGGCCCAAAAAATAACAATAACATCTACCATGAAATACCGTATAAGAGAAAAAAGAAAAATTAGCACTAGTAAACTTATTTTTTTTATTTTGACTGCTGGTTTATATACAAAAAAAATAAAAAATATATATATCATACTAACTTTTAATATGATAGGTATATGTTATAGAAATTATAGTATGGAAAGACGGTAGTTTTAATAGATAGGTAATGGACAATCAAAGTTACATAGTTCTTAATAGATAATTTAAAAGAAAAAAATTACTGAATAACACATCTGTCTTCATAGAATTGTGCACTGAAGGGATTATCTAGGGCCATGGTGCTCTCAGCTATTTTGTCTCTCACTCGATCAGACACAGTGTAGATACCCCCAACCATTTTCCTTACACCACGTTCTATAAATCCTCTAGGATTATGCTTGTGGAAAAACGCTTTCATCCTTCTGTGTTTCAACATCATTTTCCTTTTTATTGGATGCGGTCTACTGAATACGGATCTCTTCTTTTTAGGAAAGATTCTTCTACGCCGTCTACCCATTTTTGTATTTGAAAATTAAAACTTACGTTACGCCTTTAGATAGGTTGGATTGTTGACATTTTCTCTGCTTTTTTCTGGTGGTGTTAGGTATATATTGTATTATAGATTTTTACATCCTGATAGTTTTGTTATTTTCAATAGGTATATGAAATAATACCAAAAATTAAATGTCAAAGAATAAAATGTCAGTTCAATATTCTTAAGTCCAATTATTTAGTGGACAGTGTCAATAATCTTCTCTTTGCTATTTTTGTATGTTAGAGCTAATTTTGCATGATTTCTTATAACTTCGGTTAAAAATATTAACTAAAAAAATATTTAATTGAAGTATTTGTAATATATGGAATTACTTCAAATTTAATCTTCCTGTCTTTCACGGGATCAAGTTCAAATAGAAAGTAAGGAATCAATCGAGGAGTTCATTGTCATGGCCTTGGACGATGTATTGATAAGTACCCAAATGTATTACGAAAAATCACTTGAAAGTATCTATTTCACTCTTAGAGGTTTATTTTTTTAATATTTTTTAAATTTATTTATATGGATCCTAAAAATATAATCTATACATTAAGAATTAAATAATTGATCTATAATTAGCAAAGATATCGCGTAACATACAAACAAATTCAGACGAATTGTGTACTCTCTTTTTTACATTGGTCAAATGTTCGATAATATTCCTTTTGAACTTAACTATAAAGATAATATATGAAATTATTAATAAGTACACATACATACAGAAATTTTAATACATTACTAATAACTATGCACCATTTCCACCGACAAAAAACCGACTTTAATAAATAATTTAAAAAACACCTGGAGTAAAAAACGCTAATAAACATTTCTGTTGCTCTGGATACTTACGTTCTTACGAGTTACGAAAGTACTTCAAACCAATTCTAAGAGTTTGGGAGAAAGTCTGGATGTCCTTGGCCCTTTTAAAGCTACTTAATAGGATGGAGCAGACGCTGCTCTCTATTTACTTTGACGATGTTACGTAACTATAATAGTGGCTTTGGGGCCTATATATACTGAACTGAATTGAATGCAGTGTATTTTCAACCAACTTCACAAAGAGGAATTACTGGTATTTTTTTGTGTATACTGTTATATTCGATAATCACGAATCGATTTTAATAATATTTTTAGTGATAGTTTATAATAGTCCTATATATGGATACATTCTATTTCACACGTCTAAAAATGTTTGAGAAGAGCTTCTTAGGATGTCATATAAGGCTAGTTTTTTATTTAAAACTCCATCTTTTTAAGGTGAAAATAACTGTCTGTCTGTTTATTACCTCTCCATGTTTACACCACTAAACATATTTTGATGAATTTTGGCAAGGGCATAGATTATTATAATATATTTATAAACAGGGAGATGAATATAGGCTACCATTATTCCTGTCTCACTTGCTCTGTACTTTTTTACAGTCAATCGTAAAGAAATTTAGAAATATTTTTATAACTAAAAAAAATCAATACCTTACTTTCTTAGATTTACGCAAATATTTGAAATTTTAAATAAAATTTTCAGATTTTTTCGCGGATTTATTTTAATTTTTGGTTCCTGACGCTTCGAATGTTATACAGCAATCATAGTCACGGGAGAAATAGTCTCTCCCGTGACAGATAAAGTTCGTAAAATATAGTTTTATTTTAAATCTATAACATCTTTTTTTATTGTACTTATTACCTTTGCTTATCATTTGTTGAGTATGGTTGGTACCAAGGGTACTATCGTCATATAGTCGTAAAGGACTCATTGGTTATACTCGTATTTAAATGATATATTAAATTTATGTTAAAAAAACTATCTTAATATATCCTTCCTAGGGTCTTAAACTATTTTAGCAAATTTCATCTATATCGGTTCAGTAGTTTCGGAGCTTATTCGTTACAAACAAACAAAAAAATCTTTTCTCTTTATAATATTATATGTATATATATCGATATTATGTATCGATAATTTTCTATAGAGCATCTGTCGTAGACTGAATATTTTTAGGAAATCACTAGTCACGCCTCTACGATGTACAGTCGATTGCAGTACACATCTCATGTATGAATGAACGTCTTACCTATGTATATACTGCGCCCATATAACCAAGATACTGAAACAGAATTAGAAAAGTTTTAAAGTTATAATACACAGTATATTCAAAATAATAATAAAAAAATATGTGAACTGTTAATAAATTTTTTAATATAACTTTTTTACAATATTTCAAATTTAATCATTTAATTTAAAAAAATGTTTACTAGACATCCGATTTTGAATGTACCTAGTAATATATTTATTTAAAAATAATATATAAAAACTATAAAAACCTTATGTAATTTTAAAAAAATACTTGATATTAGTATATATATTCATTAATACTACATTAAGTTTATAAGAACATATAGCATATAAACAAGCAAGTATCAAAACGTTTCACGCCAAACCAATACGCGTCTTACAAAACATCACCTATATATACCGCGCTATCCCAAGTGCATCTTACTCTATCTCTAACCACCAAAACGAAAGGACATCCAAGTCCGAGAGTATTTGACTAAAATCATTACAATGAAATTGAAAGTGCTTTGTGTTTGCTTAATCTTCGTGGCAGTCTGTCACGCAGCCCCTGGAACAACAGATGATACAAAACTAGAAATATTTTCGGGGGTGGCTATTGAAAAGTAAGTGATATTTTATATTATTTTATAACGAATATCTTGAGAATAATTTTTAAACACTAATTTTGTATATATGTACCTACTACAGGTGTATATGTTGCTACATACATGTGCGTACTATACATAAAGGAATATTTTAAATCAATCTTAAGATTTTTCTAAATTTTTGAAATTTTCTCAATATATTGAAACAGTATTCTAAAAATATGTAAAAGAGTAGAGTTTTTATATTTTTTACTTTATTGTTACAAATTACAAAGAGCTATGTATAAATACATCACGTAAATGAGTGAACTTTCACGCGCTGTTGCGTTATGGTGAAAATACTGAAACAATACAATGTCACACGATTTACTTCAAGGCTGACAAACACATGTCTTTCTAACACATGTTTACCGTAAGAGGTAAAAAGTATGCAAATTCTATACAATACTCTTTTGATAAAGAATGTCGATTTGTTAATAAAATATAACATATAATAAATCTCTAATATATATGAATAATTTCATGGTTTATATTTTATTCAAACTTAATTCGTAAACAATAGGTGTTTAAACAGATAAAGAGCTTATCAAAAAGAAAGCTATATTTAAATAAAACTATTTTTTCTGGTAGGCTGTCTGTAACAACTATACCTTCAAGACATGTAACACCTCAGTCACTCCCGTGACCATGGATGCTGTAAAGCATTCGAAACGTCGGGAACCAAAAATCAAAATAAATCCGCGAAATAATCCGAAAAGATAGTTTTATTTAAAATGTCAAATATTCGCGTAAATCTAAGAAAGTATTAAGGTATATTTATATGTAAAATAACTATTCAATGGGCGGAGTTAAGTGCTCTTTTATATTACATTATATTTTTATATAATTTTATTTTTTTATATTATACGGTAATTAAACTTTAATATGAATAATTGTTAGTCACTTTATGCTCTACATGAGTATCTACAGTTATTCTGCCACAGTATTTGTGTATGACAAGTAATTTTGTATAATTTTGGCAATTTTCTGCTATCGTTTATTACCGCAAATGAACTTCTAAAGAAAAACTTAAATCGATTATATTATTAGATTTCCGAGTAAATCAGTCAAGCTGCAAAATCGTCTATGTGTAATAAGCTTATTTCTAACTAGGTTATTATAATTCTATACTAAATTCACATATCTTAATTAATATAAATATATGTTACAGAGATGCCACAGGAGAAGATAAACTAAACGTCAAGTTCGAGCCTGGAGAACTGAGGGAAGCCGCAAGAACATTTGAAGAAGGTATGTATCTTTGATGATGTTATTGGTGATGTGATTGGTGACTTTGGTGATTTAAGTATTAAACAAACAGTCATTTTCATTTACTTTTACACACATACTACTTACGTTTTCACGTTTAGTATCGATTTCTCAGAGATGAGATATTTTCCCGCTGTAAAAAGTATCCTATATGTTGACCCAGTTAACCAGCTATCATCATACTAAATTTCATCAAAATCTCTCCAGTGGTTTTTCCGTGATGCGGTAACAGACAGACAGACAAAAATTCTTAAAACTATAGATTTGGCCTCTGTATTGATAATAATGTATATTTCAATAAGATTTAGAAATATATTTAATGTACAGATTCGACTTAGTTAGAATTTTATTATATGTATAGATTATACAAATTTTTACTTATCGTGTATATTATTCGCAAACGAAATGAAAATCCACTTTCTATTAACAGAAACGAATGAAACAGACCAAATATAGGTATTAGAATCAATTACAATTTACAAGGTAACTGATCGTCACGCGAAGAGCAACGGGTTACTGACTGAAAACTATTGTAATTAATGATAAAACGTTTTCTTTCACATTTTTATCTCGAGAGCTGATGATTTATCATGTCATATTTAATATAAATAACACAAGATGGTACAGATATAATATAATGGTTGGCTCTAATATCAGTAGAGTAAATATTTAAATAGAAATACAAATATTTTATTGTACTAATTATGATATTTTTGTTTAAATGGCTTTTAAAAGAGCATGAATGTTGAGATTAATAAGTTTAGAAGTAGAAAAAGAGATATATTGATATCATATAATTGGCATTCTAGCCTTTTTCTTGTACAAATATATCAGAAAGTATGTTATCTATACTTATAATAAATCTGTAGAGAGGTCAATTCTGTACATGAAATATATTTCCAAAATAACTATCAGGGGGTGATTAGGGATCGATACTGATACCAAAAATGCAATCAGTAAAATTTTTGTCTGTCTGTCTGTATAACCGTTATAGAAACAAAAACTACTCGACGGATTTTAACGAAACTTGGTACAATTATTTATCATACTCCTGAGCTGGTTAAGGTATACTTTTCATCACGCTACAATCAATAGGAGCAGAGCAGTGAAGGGAAATGTTGGGAAAACGGGAGAAGTTACTCCATTTTTTAAGCTTCCGTCGCGTGTGCAACCTTAATGGTTAAAGCTATACAGAAATCATGTATGACGGAAATGTTTTCCTTAAAATTATATAAAAAATATCCCACGACAGCATATGTCTATCTTTTATGGTTGACTCACAATAACACGTGTAACTCCCGATAGCTTAGCAGTTCGAAGCTTTCTGATTTATATTTGTCTACTCTTACGTTTATAACACTCTCAGTCATCCCTAATTAAAAAAGTTAACATTATAAACTATTCCATGAAAAAGAATCATAGAAATCGGTAAAGAAACACCAAAGTTATACATGAAATACGCTAATAATAATCCATCGCGAGTCAGGGGGATGTAAGAAGACAAATAGAACAAATCCAGATTTTTTTCAATTTTTTTGTTTCTCTGTCTGTTTGTCTGTTTGTTTGTACGGGCTAATCTCCGAATCTATTGGACCGATTTAAATGAAACTTTGCATGGTGGTACCTTATATCCTCGGACAACGTCTTAGATATTTTTTATCCCGGAAAATTAAATGGTTCCCGTGGGATAGTTAAAAAACTATTATAACTTATACAACTTATGCACCTAATTTAGTAAAATTTAACATTCTGATACCTTATATTGTCGGTCAAACAACAGGTTACTTTTCATCCGGGAAAAATGAACGGTTCCCGTGGGAACTAATAGAGTTCTATTAGTGTTTTTGTAGAGGCGAACCCGAGCGAAGCGAGGGTGAGCCGCTAGTGATACAATAAAAAAATTAAACCGGTTTTTATAGTGTGTAAGTACTAAATATGTGTGTTTGTTACTTCACTCAAGGTCAAAGGATTCTTGAAATTACTATCTTGAATTAATATAAAAAATATTTTTATCAATTTACTTACTATAGGAGTAAAAATGCAAAAATATTAGTTAAAAAAAATGTTTTTTTTTTATTTTCTAGTACTAAAAGCAATACATAATATTATTTTTTACAATAATACTTTTATTACACTTATATTATAAAGCTAAAAATATTTAATATTTAACAAATAATATAATGATAAAATATTACTTTTATAATAACTTAAAAGAGATTCTATAGCTTATATTTATATAAATAATTATAATAAAAACTATAATATAATTATATTATAGACATTATTATATTCCATATACTCTTATATCTATACTATACAATATACATAGTATAGTGCAGCTCTGTCGCCTACTTTCAAAGCTCGCCGCATGGTCAAGGCCGACTGCGTTATGTCATATCACGTAAGCAGTCAATGAACTACAATTTCTCCTACCATTAGCATACCGGCGTCGCTACATAAAAACTATATCATAAGTTTAAAATAATTTTATTTTTACAATTGAAATTTTCACGCTTATTTATAAGCAAAATTAAAAAAAAAACTTGCTTCTTGAAGCTATTTCTGACTGTACTTAATTTTCATAGAGAATATTATATAATATGAATATTTGTAAGATAAATACAATTTATGCCTATATATTGTAATTATTATAAGTAATTTTGTTTGTTTACTTACATCAGATTTTTTTAATAAAATATTACAGTATTACGGTAAAAAAACTAGTATGATAGATTTTCGTACACAAAAACAAACTAAAAATATGTAAATCCTTAACATCCCATTATTCTAAGTGAAGTTTAACTTTTATGTAACTCTAGCATTGCCCGCGGCTCCGCCCGCGTTCAGATGAGTAAAAACCAAATTCCTAGGTTTTACATATTAATATAATCTTACATTGCAGTTTTTGTATTTTTTCTCAGAAATGAGATATTTTCCCGCAAAAAAGTATCCTATATGTTGACCCGGATAACCAGCTATCACTATACCAAATTTCATCAAAATCCCTCCAGTGGTTTTTCTGTGATGCGGTAATAGACAGACAGACAGACAAAAATTCTAAAAACTATAGATGCGGCCTCTGTATCGATAATAATGTTTATTTCAATAAGATTTTCCAAAAAATATTTAATTTACAGATTCGGCTTAGTTACAATTTTATTATATGTAATATGTATAGACGAAATAAAACTATCACATCGGATTCTGTCGTGGTGCTTTGATTGTTATTTGTTCCAGACGTTTCGCGCTTTTTGACACTATTTTTGCTTTAAAAGCATTGAAAACGTTATAAAAGAAATCTTTATAAGATTTTACCGCTTATACTTGTTCCACACATACTCTTTTACTTTCAAACCGTGGTCGCTGTTAGCTGGTCAAGGTCGGTGTTACGTCACTTATAATACAAGTCATTCAACTTTCAAGTATAAATACTTTGTATTTATTTACATTTTTTTTCTTTAATGGCTTAGAGTTGCGTTATCAGATGCAATACATTCTGCCAGTGTCACGTTTTGTGAGGAAGACAAGAATGAGATTGAGCGGCAATTTTGAAATTTAGCAGCTTTAATGTGGAATTAAAAGTATAAATGAATGATCGGTCCATATGAGTAACCTACAACAATAGAAAGATGATTACGCAATACAAAAATGTCACATTGATTTATTTACAATTCCGGACTTCTAAATTCAAAAATATGCTTTATTTATAATGACATATGTATAAACTATAAATGTCTGTTTGTTAGGCTTGTTTTTCTCAGGAAAACCACTATAATATTTAAAGTCCATAAAAATATTGATCCCAAACGGAATTCGAAAGCTTTATTAAAATAAAATTTAATTATTATCAATAGAACTGACATTCTAGAGTCAATAATTCTGTATTAAAAACTCTTTCGGTAAATTGATCGTTTGATCAAATAAGCGCTGAAACGACAATTTGTAGATAAACCAGAAACCTCACAGTCACTACGTATAGATAACTAGCAGAACCCGCGGCTTCACTCGCGCTAAAACTACAAAAAAATCTCTAAAAAGGTAGTTTCATACAAACTTTCATTCCCTATTTTACCTCCTTATCGGATGACTTCCGAAAAATGCTAAAACAAGTATTTATTTAATTTTATTAAAGAGCTTTAATACCAAGTTTCAAGTAATTCTGATTATATATTTTTTTTTAGATTGTATTATAACGTGTTTTACCGTGGGAATTAGATAATTTCTCGCGATAAAAAGTAGCCTATATCACTCTCCAGCCCGCCAACTACATAAAAAGTCACGCCAATCCGTCACTTCGTTTCGACGTGAAAGAAGGACAAACAAACAAACAAACCAACAAGCAAACACACTTTCACATTTATAATATTTGTATGGATGTCACTAACATGTGTATAGTGTTATTCAAAATGGCGATATAATCTCTCATGCATAATATGTCCTTGACATATAACATCCATACACATAATAGTACATTGAACTAACTTTCATTACCTCGCACTAGCTCGTGTAATTTATTCTCCAAAACAATCAAATGAAAAATTAAAGTAATAGTTATTTTATATGTATACTTGTTTCATTTGTTTAATGTTTTGTGATTTTGGTAGTAATGATGGAAAAGGGTATATTATTCTATAAGTTAAAATTAATCAAGCAATTCTTCTTTTCGCTGCCCATTTCCCAATCACTTGGGGTCGGAGCAGTACATCTTCTGTACTGCTGATAGAATTTGGCCAAAGTTTTTCGACCGACCGCCTGCCTGACGTCAACCCTCCTTGGGAATAATTATAAGCAATTGAAGGCCATTTAAATACATAATAAATATGTCATAATTTTATTATATAATATTTTATACCGTTTAGATGTTAATTTATGATTTCGGTAAATCTCATTGAGACTAGCCACTGTAATGTACTCGTAGATAATATAGTATGTAGCTCAAAAGTATGTTCGCAAGTGTACTCTCTATTGAATATGTTCCTTACAGTATCACAGTAGACCTATAGAAATCGGGGGCCCGACCTTCCCAGCTTCAATTTATTACTAAAAAAAATTAAGCAGCAAACCGTAAAGTAATTACTTTGCCGAACGCGGGACTCAAACCCTGGACTCGCACCTAGCGGACTAGATGAGGCAGACCTAGTGTTATCGAAGCAATTAACACTCTCCTCCTTTTCAAAATATATTAAAACAATATAAAACGTATCCCAAAGTATGTTTGACAAAAAGTTGTCATTATTCTCTTTTACTAGTTACGATATCAATATCCATAACTGGAGTACAAATATTCGTGGTCATGACATAAATAAATGCTTCCACCGGGACTAGAACCCGCGACCGCTGGCACAGGAAGTAGGTTCCTACAAACTAAGCCAAACGTGTCGTCAATAATATAATGGCATATATTGTAATTAAAATTATCTTTTCATGGAAGCACGAGGAAAAATCAAGAAATATGCGCCTCTTCTCGCCGGTATTGGGGTGAAGGTTGTGGCTGTGTTGGGTCTACTATTTGGTGCTTTGACCCTGATGGTGACCAAGGCTCTAGTCGTTGCGAAGTTAGCATTCCTTGCTGCGGCCGCTTTGGGCATCCACAAATACTTCAGTGGAGGAAGTTTGAATAGCATAAGCAAGGTATGATATGTTATTAATGTGATAATTATTATGAATGTGATAGTGGTCAAGTTAATCATGATGATAATAATAATAGTGATGATGATGATTATGATACTGATATTGATATATTTAATTGTGATGTTGATGATATTTTTGTGGATTAAATGTTCAGATACAAAGGTACAATTTATTTGTTGTTCATAGTGAATTCCTACATAAAAAGTTATATTTCTTTATCTAACCTAATGGTGTTAACATTATTTGCTTATGACAGGTATCAGGATTCCAAACTGCTCCTCAGCAATGGTCAGCGCCTTCAGCCGCCGGTGCCTCATACCCATATGCGAGGTCGGTCAATTCGCAGGATGCAAACGATTTAGCTTACAAAGCCCAAATACCATCGTAAATAATAAGCTAACATAGCGCTTATGTAATATATGTAAGATTGGGTTCATACGGTAATACACTGCACGTTTTATTACCGTATAAAGTAGTATTCGTTTACTAAATAGAAACGACAACAACTTTGATGCGTGTAAAAACGTATAGTTACAGCTTTCGAAAGTAATCACTTCGAGGAGACATGGAAGTTCATTCGGTTTATTCGATTGGTCCGCTGAGTTTTCGTTAAATGCTTATATGTGTACGTTTTTTACCGTATAAAAGACGTATGAACATTCTAAAAACGTGCACTGCAGTACCGTATGAATCGACTTTAATCGATTTTAACATACAGTTAATTTAACAAACTTTTTTATAAGCCGTTGACACTTGATGTATGTACCAGTAGAGTGGCAGTTAGAAATGATTCAATTTAAACTTAATATTCTAAGTTTTGGATTGATTATAAAATAAATAGTTTGCCTTTAAGTCAATATAACAATAAAAAGATATTAAAGGCATCTATTATATTAGAAGATGGTTTAGATATAATTATTTACAACGGGCATGCTTTATATTTTTTTAATGATGATAGAGAGATTATGAGAAAGAGTAATGCGAGAGAAGTAATCGACATCATATGATACATTCCAATGATCTTAAATTAGATATTTTAAATATATTCATAGTTTAATATATAAAAAATATCTTAATAATTTAGGTTAAGGCGTTTAAACATAAGGTGCGTTTCTAGCTTTAATTTTGTTTACGCTGAATTGTATGGTGCAAATTTTATATTTGATATTTTTTTTACTTATTTATTAATGCTATGTTAACATTAAATGAAAAGTCTTGGAAAGAACGGAAGATCAGACTGCTTTTTAGTAAAAAAAAAATATTGACTTAATTTTCCTCGAATTATAGAAACAGTGCACAGTGCTTTCTCAATTTATCCTTACGCCAGGCCTTTACGAGACTAAAACAAAAACCTATATGGTTAATATAAACTTACCACTGACAGGAATTGAATCCAAGATCCTTGATGCAGTAAATTATATGTTTATGTAATAAAATTTTTTACAAGATTATGTTTAAATTACATAATTTTTGAGATAGACTAAAATTCATTCATTTAATGTTAACGAAACATACTATTACATTCTAAGATATATTTTAAACGCTAAGAAGCATTTTAAATAAAATTATCTTTTCGGGATGTTTCACCAATTTATTTTGATTTACGGTTCCCGACGTTTCGAATGCTTTACAGCAATCTTTGTCACGAGAGAGACTCTCTCCAAAGAGATAGTTTTATTTAAAAGGTCAAATATTCACGTAAATCTAAGAAAGTATTACGCTAAAAAGCAATTACTATTAAATTAGATTGTTCGTATATTTTGGTACTTATTCAAAATTAATTTTAGTATTTTGTATACATTGGAAACATTTTGGATTGAACAGGGTATAATTATGACAGATAAATTGTGTTATGATATGAATAACTTTTGCATATTGTTCAAAGGTAATTTTAATGAACCTTATTCGAATCACGTGACGTTTAGCTTAGTTTGTAGTAGTAGACTCTACTTGTTGTGCTAGCGGTCGCGGGTTCAAATCCCGCTGGGGGGATTTATTTGTGTGATGAGCACGAATGTTTGTCCTCCAGTCATGGGTGGTTATATTTATAATATAATGTATTTAAAGTTATATATTTGTAGTGTATCAACTATCTGGTATCCGTAACAAAAGCCTCGTAGCTTACCATGGAACTAGATGGTGCTGTGTGTTAATGTCCCAACATATATCCCAACATATTATTTAATATGTAATATTTCATCCCTTATATAATAATTAAAGAATGCGTAGAGTTATAGTACAATGTGCAAAAGCGATTGATATTTCATTGAATTGATAAGAATAATTTTATTAAATAGTAATCTTTAGTGCTTTTGATTCTTTAACTTTATAGCTCTTACGGGTTTATTTGTGTCATGTAATGAACCAAACTCTGTTTTTAAGTAATTTATTATTGAAATAAAGACTGTACTTCTAGAATTATAGTGAAATAAACGAGTAGAAAAGTTATGAAATAATGGTTTTATTACAGAATCCTTTACCATAATCTATACTAATATTATAAAGAGGAAAGATTTTTCTGTTTGTTCGTTGGTTTGTTTGTTTGTACCTAATAAGCTCCGAAATTACTGGACCGATGGTTTATATCCCGGAAATAATCCCTTAGGGGGTAAAATAAGGATGAAAGTTTGTTTGGGAAATTAACCTAGGGACGAACCCGAGCGAAGCGAAGGTGAGTCGCTAGTCTATATAATATGTATGTGTATAAAACAAAGTCGGGTAATTTACATCATTTATAACTAAAGAACGACTGGACCGATTTTGATGATCTTTGATTTTGTTACATTTGTCTCCGCCCCGGATAGCAGAATAATTATTAAATTTCGGAAAATTCACGGATTAAAATTACATGGCTAACGCTGGCTTATAACTATTTATATCTATTTAAAACGTACCCAGGGATGCGCCCGGGCGAAGCGAGCATAAGTCGGTAGTTTTAACTAAATTAATGTCTCTTATTTTTTACATATATCTTTGTCTTATATAACTTTTGCTAGCAATGTTAACCGAGCAATATTTCTTTTGTAAATCAAATTGTGGTACCTACTCACGATACAGGCTTTGCCTAGTGTGAGTTACCTTTAAATATAAAATATATTGTAAGCTGAACTTTTTTGACAATAAAGATTATAATTATAATTATTATAATTAGCCTTCTAATTATTATCAAGTGTTAAGGGTGAAGCACATATTATAATAGCAAGGCCAAAACATTCAGCCCACGACCAGGATTAGAACCTAACTAATCATCAGCGATGCAAAATCGATTTCATAACAACTGTAGGTACTTTTGTGACCTACAAAATATAGGTTTTAGATTAATAAGGGAAAAAATAGATGGATAATAAAAAAAAACAGACGACCCTTCGTGAAATATTTCAGACTGTTTTCATAAAGTAAGTATTTAAAAAAAACTTCTTATTCTTCAAGCCTAAATCATAAGGGCAACCTCTCCTATTCCTGTACCACACTAAACCCTTATAGGCCATCTCATGTCATGTTCATACGCTTCATGTCCTTTTTTTTCAATACGAGGGAGATCAGGCCATAGTCCACCACGCTGGCCAAGTGCAAGTCGGCTACAACTTAGTTTGCATTTTGCAATTAGTCAATTTGTGGTGATCTAAGGCATCGATTGGTCTTTTCTATTCAAATCACTCTTCTAAACAGCCCGGATGATTTTTTAGCGTTTCGTCTGCTATCGTTTATCGTCTACATCTTCCTAATGTTCTTCCATTGTATCAGATCTTCTGTACGTCTGCTGTAATAACTTCTACGATAGGACCTCGGGTATAATAACAGAAAGTTCAGAGTTTATGTGAACCAATTAAAAACTGTCGAATGAGATATATATTTTCTTGTCTATACTTAATATTATAAAGAGGCAGAGTTTGTTTGTGTGAACGCGCTTATCTCAGAAACTACTAATTCCAATTGAAAAATTCTTTTTGCGTTAGATAGCTCATTTATTGAGGATGGCTATATGCTATATATCATTTAATATATCTATCCTATACTAATCGTTAAAACGTACCTAGGGACGAACTCGAGAGAAGCGAGGGTGAGCCGCAAGTCATTTTATATAAGCAGAGTAAAAACATGAATCATTTAATAACTTATCTGATACTTTTAGGAGTACATAACATTACAAGGAGCTTATATTTTCAGTAAATTCAAAACTCACGAATTCAATTCCCGCGCAAGTTGGTAAACATTTATATTAAACTAGCAGAACCCGCGGCTTCGCTCGCGCTAAGAATGCAAAAAAACTCTAAAAAGGTAGGTTTCATACAAACTTTCAATTTTACCCTCTTATGTGATGAATTTCAAAAAATGCTAAAACACGTATTTAATTAATTGTATTGAAGAGCATTACTACCAACTTTCCAGTAATTCTGATCATAAATATTTTTTGGGTTGTATTTTAAGATGTTTTCCCGTGGGAATTAGATAATCTCTCGCGGTAAAAATTAACCTATGTCATTCTCCAGCCCCCCAACTACCTCAACACAAAAAATCACACCAACCTGTCACTCTGTTTCGACGTGAAAGAAGGACACACAAACAAACACACTTTTACATTTATTATATTAATATGGATAATAATAAAATATATTGACGTGTCATATAACTAATCATGTACACTTACTATTGTACACTTAAAGCACGAACTCATCGTACATAAAAATTGAAATAAACTGAAAAGAAAGAAGAATCTCTCTTTATCCAATACATCTCATTATAATAATTTATGAAAATAAAACATAAAATAAATATATTTGAATGAATAATAACAAGTTTTTCTACTAAAAACAAGATATTTGTAAAATGTTTTAAAGTTAACACAAAACGCTGACTAGTAGCGACATCTATTGACAAAGTATGTCAATAATAACTATCACTATATGTTTTTTTCTTAATTATCAAACAAATTTAATATTTAATGATTGTAATTAAATTTATTAATTGAAGGTTAATATAAATTAAACTTTTTTAGATATTTTACCCGAAATATGACATTTCAAATTAAACTACCTTTTGTTCCCAACGTTTCGATTTTTCTCCAGCAAACGTGATCCGGCAGAGAATAAGGTTTTAGACGTCTTAAAAGTAATAAAACCGCATCAAACTCAAAAAAGATAGTTTTATTTAATCTACATAATTCAAATCCATTGATTTGTCTTTCCATATATCTATTTTGCACTGTTGTAAGTTTTCTTAAAAGTATTTACATTATAGCTGGGCATTATATGTATTATGTCTTTAATGTAAAGCGAAAAACACTCAAGAGTGAAATTTAAATTCTGTTTTTTTTATATACATAATATTATTCTATATTCAATTTTAAAAGCAATTTTCTAGATAAGATTAAGTAGGTCTACTGAC